TGGCTAAATTGACTTCTTTGATCAGAGAAAAGACAATATCTACATTTATTGCTGACTGAAACCTCTTACGGACTTTTTGTGCAAAACAGAAAAAAATGAACTTATGATTTATGGTTTTGATGATTAGACAGAATAGATTATAGGAGCTAAGTCTAACTCTATGAATCATAGAGTAAGAGGTAAATTTATAATTGTATCTGTAACTGCTGTAAAGAAGGTTGGAATCTATTTCTTTGTATCTTTTTTCTATTTTTCTTTTACTTTTTTCCGTTTCTTACACTTTCAGCTTTCTCTTTGCTTGCTTGCTTTTTCTTGTATTTTTAAAAAAGGAGTGAAATAATATTAGATACCATATTATGCATAATATTATGTATGATTGTGGGACAAAAAGAGCAGAGAGCTGAACTCAGACAAATAAGTGTTGTGGAATTATTAGGACAAACATAAGTTTCAACAAAGGGTTAATACGTAGACTCTTCTTGCTCATCCCCATAGCCAGATATCAAGGTAGATAGCAATGAAGGTATATCTGCCTGCCTGCCTGCAAGTATGCTCCTCTGCTGCCATGTTCTTCTGCTCCTTGCTTCTTGCTTTTCTCTTGCTCCCTGCAATAGCATGCCTACAGATATTGCAAACTGGAATGCTGTGGTTGAAAATGGAAAATTGAACACTCACCTGTTGGGGCTCTTGATAAGGGGGAGGGGGTACAGTCTGTGTGGCCATCATTGTCAGAGATGGCGCTGGGGAGACATGTTGCATCATGGGATTGATTCACATCTAGGACCTATCGGCAGAAGAAAGTTCAGTTGTTACTAAGGAAAGGAAAGAACATCATTAGCATAATATTCACTCAATTCATCTTTCCATAGCAGATTCACATTTCCTAATTTATACAGCAAACTTTCCAAATCTGGTATCTTCCTGATATGTAAGAACAATATCTTTAATGTAAATCCTTGGAACACCTTTGGAGGACACCAGGAGAATATATGCATATTGAAGAACAATTATCGTATAGGAGTTGTACTTTTCCCTATTTTGCAATTACACGCCTCTTTTTTTTTAAAGGATTCCTTAGAGAAAGTTGCATTTCAAAGATCAGTACACTGATGACAATAATGCCCCAAAATATATAATGGAATATTGCTTGCAAAACTGCCCAATAGGAATAGCGCACAGATGCTTGTAGAAATGTGTGCAAAAATGTATATACCACACACACACACACACACACACACACACACACACATAAAGAGAATAATTATAAGATGATTATGACTGGAGTAGGAGTGGGATATCCAAGTTCTAGTCCTCCCCTAGACATGGAAGCCATCCGGGTGACTTTGATCCAGTCACCCTTTCTCAGCCTAGACTAGGAAGCCGAAATTATCTACCTACCAACCTGCCTTGGACCAGCATGATAGATTAGGGTCCATAACCTTCAATGAAGAATCCTTCATCCTTCAGTGGATTGATTTGGGCTGATAATTTTCATATCATATCATATCATATCATATCATATCATATCATATCATAGTATAATGTGTGTACTTGTGTGTGTGTGTGTGTAGCAGGGGGGGGGCAACTGCATGAAATGCATGAAATGAGAAGCAGAATCTAACATTTAGGTACAGCCATTCCTAACAATTCCTAATGTGTACTACTTAACGTTAGGGTTATAAATCCACTGTAAACAGCACAATATAAATATCCACATCATTTGATATTCACTAAGAGGCCAGACATTTCAGGATGTAAACATATAGAAGATAGCTCCAGTTATGCATTGTAATCATTCTTTTTCTTTTGCCAGAATGATGGTGGGATAAAATGCTAGATTCATTGCTTTCATCAAGAGAGGAGAACCTTCTCTGCTTCTAAGGACTATTTTAATTAATATCTAGGGTACCAAAACTCTTGAGATTATTCCCATCAGACTGAGTTTAAATTATCTACTCTTGCTGATACAAAGTTTGATTTTAGCAGAAGTTGGTGTATTTCTTCCTTTGTCAAAGATACTTAGAGGTTCATTATTTTTAAATAGTCCCACTGATGAACAGAGAACCTAAACAAAGAAATGATAATAGGAAAGTTAATTCCAACCATATTTAATGCTCATAGCGTTAGTCTCATAGGATTTTTTTCAAACTCATCTTTTCTCTAAGGAATCTAGGGTGGTGTGGATGGTCCCTACCCCACTCCACTTCCAGAACAACCTGATGGGTTAACTTCATTGAAGATTAGAGATCTAAACTGAAACTTCACTATTTTAAGTTGCTATCTCTAGTGACTATATCATCCTGTCTGTTTTTCTGAATACACGTTTTAATGTCTTTCCTTAAAAGAGCTTTGAGGAACATTTCTAGTCTTTTTTGAAACTAAATCTTTATTGTTTCTTTCTTAAAAGAGAGGCAAGAATGTTAAGGCTGAACAGCGGGCCATTATTATCTGAGGAAGAATAGCACATGATACTCCTGCTTCTCATACCATTTCCTCCAGCTTCTAGTAAAAGTGTTGCATGACTAAGGCAAGACAAGCTTGGTTTGGTAAACAAGATAAAAACACAACAGTCCCTTCTTTCCTCTATTTGGCAGGCTCTGACCTATTGCCAGAAGTCTGGATTGCTTGCTTGCATTTAAAGTCACTAGAATTCTGCTAAAGACCATGGGTTACCCACACCTGATCTAAGGTAGTGATGTCTCATGTTGCCTTAGAGTTGGGCCCCAAAATTTTGAACAATCATCAGCCATTGGCTTGTTAGCTAAACAAAAGCTCCTTGTTAGAGGCAATAGACAACTGGGTTTCCACTACTACCACTTCCAACAATATTCAGCAAAAACTTTCCTATCACCACTAATAGAAATCCGAAAGAAAATGTCAAGCACTCCCAGAATAAGACAGAAAAACAGAAACCTCTTTCACACAAAATGAAAGCTTCTGAGAAACTGCAAGAACAAACTTTGGTGCAGCATTAGATTCCATGTGTGCTAAGCCATGATGGAGTTTGCTTGGCTTTATCTCAGCATACTGTGTGAACCCAGCCAACGTAATTCATAAATCAGCTTACTGTGTTGCCTGGTGTGGCTTGTTCAGTAGTTAAGCAAACCTATGGCTTAGATGGGTACGTACACTTGCCTACCTCTGAAAACTATTTGTTGAGAGTAGAATAGTGTATACCCTGGATCAAGCTAGCACCATATTTAACCACTGCATGGGCTTTTAGTATAAAAATAGTAGATGCATACCATGGCCTGGGAATATATGTGGGGTAATACAGGTGCAGAGTCCTTAGAAGTTCACAGGGAAGGCATTTCACAGGCTAATTTAGTCCCTCACATATTTTTAATGGACACTCTGTTGGGTATAAAAGCTTTACAAACCCGGCGGAACATTGCCTATATACTTGGGGTGCATTGCATGTTTACTCCTGTAAGCATTTACCTTTGATAAAGCTTGTGATGATCACACTAGCTTTCAGCTCCTCTTTCTTGGAAATCTCTCATGGATATTGGCCTTTGGAGAGCGCTTACATTTGCATTTCCATTTGGAGAAACAAACAGCAGGGTTGGTTTTCAGCCTTCATGTGCTACTTGTGGATATTCTAGTGGTGTCTACCTGGCCAGTGGACCAAATAATCCCATATTCATGACAATGCATCTCATCCTGACGTAACTGGGGATATATCCTCTTCTCTTTCCTTCCACCTTTCCCAGCATTAGAGCTTTTTCCAGAGAGCTAGCTCTTCACACAATGCGTTCAAAGTAAGATAATTTAAGCTTGGTCACTTCTGCCTTGAGTGAGAATTCTGGGTTGATTTGTTTGATGATCCATCGGTTTGTTTCCTTGGCTGCCCATGGTATAGGGTCTGGTTTTTTAAGGGAAGCACCTATCTTCCATGGTGTCTGCCCGGCAGATACAAACCAACAGGGTTGGTATGTTCCGGATCCCTTCTATTAAACAGGGTCTCCTTTCAGGACCCAGGAAGGGTGCTTTCTGTGTCACGGTGCCACCCCCAGAAAAGGGGTTCCTCCTGACATCTGCAGGACTCCTACCCTGATGGCAATCTGGCTGTTTTCCCAGGCTCTGGACTAGGGTGGCTGGAACCCCTTGTGGAATGTATAGATGTTTTCTGCGTTAATGGCTGGATCTGCCATTGTGTTATCTACTTTTTAGATAACTTTGCTATATACTTTGTTCTCTATTTAGCTTGGGTTTTTCCTTTCCTTGTTCATATTGTATTTTATTTTGTTTGTTATGTTATGAGCCGCCCAGAATTGTTCTGGAGTTGGGTGGTGCCTAAATCAAATAAATTGAATTGAATTTTTCTCCAACACCAAGTTCAAAGGCATGTGTGTGTGTGTGTGTGTATGTATACACACACAGACATATGCAAATCCCACTGCATACTGAAGTTTTCACAACTTTTATGAAACTTTAATACTTAGATGAGGAATGAATTGGATTAGTACCAATAAAGTACATTTTGAAAACTGGTCCCCCAAACAATCAGCTCATTAAAGAAACGTTCATTATATCCTGTTGATACGAAACCCATTAGGCCAATTAGCGTCCTATTAAAATGACACTAAGTCTTCCTCAGAGCAGCAATGAGTTAATTCTGTATCATGTTAATTGCTCTGTGAGCACTTGAGAGGTGTATCCTCCAATGTAGGAATTAGCAGCACACTCTCCCCCCGAGAAAAATAAACCAGATCTAATTGTAAAGCTTGAAAGGACTCAACCCAGGCAAAACAAGATTTCAACATTCTTCCATTGATGTGGTATCTGTCACTTGTGAGTTATTTCAGCCCTCCCTATTTGCTGGCCTTCAACAATCCTAGACTTCAGTTCCCAGGAGTCCAAGCCAGGACGGTCTTTGGGGAATTAAAGTCCAACATTGATCGAAGGCATTAGGCTGGGGTATGTTGGGCTAAATCCTTAACCCAACAGATATGAATGCCACATTCTCTGCTTAAATGCAACAAACCTAGTGAGGACATGTTTGCTTTTAAGGAGAAAAAGAGAGCAGAGTGTAGAACATGCTGGGGAGCCAGGAATTCACTAGTGCTTTTCTCTTCCCCAGATAATCTTTAGGGATCCTCCTGAGCTGAGTAAAGGAAACGATGATGCTTTAAATCTTGGAGGAGTTCATACTTGGCTCTCAAAACGTAAACCCCTTTCAGGATAAATCAAGGATGGGGGACCAGTGGCCATCCAGCTGAATTACAACTCCCAGCATTCCTCACCATACTAAGTGAGAACTACATTTCAGTAGGATCAGGAATGCCACAGGTTTTCCACCCCTTGACTCAACTGTTTTTTTAGGAATGGCCATGAAATTCTTCTCAGCCTTAGGTTTCTATTACAGCCCTTCCATGCCTGTGAGAATCAGGACTGAATCTTTTCTGAGATCCAGATAGTATAAGGAGCCCCTGAACTGGATGGATCCAAAGTAGGAAACCAAATACCAGTAAAAATTCTACCCTGCATCCTACTTTTCATCTAAGATGTGCCTACATTTTGAGTACTTTTGTAAGAAGATGGGCGGACTTATATTCTCAAACTATCCAGGGGAGAAAAGGGAAGGAACAGATACTGAGATAGGCACTGCCCAGAGCAAACAAATGGCAATTTCAACTGTATTATGGATGAAATGTGACCTCTCACTTCGTTCTGATTTTTGCATACTCCAGAGGGTGGCACTATGGCACATTAAATAATTGTCTTGTGTACCATAAATGTATTCCTAAATCACAGCCCCTAAGCAACCCAAGCTACTAAATC